GCTGGGCATCAACCAGGTCTTGGCTGAGGTCGCACACCTTCTCGCCGAGGTGTGGTCCCGACGGCCACATTCAAAAGCGAAGTCGGGAAAATCTGGGTTTCCCTTTAAAGAACATGAAGATGGAGAAGATGAAGAACATGCATGCTAAAATCATAACTTGTTATTACAAAGTCTGAGATCTCGTGCTATGAGTTCGAAAACATGGACCTGGGTACCCATACTCAAAGATCTTGTGAGAATAAACACAAAAACATGGTTCTTGATACAAACTTTCGGATCAAAACAAGACTTTTCTTCGAGAACACATGAACACTATCTTCTCTTACTAAACCAACTTTAAATCGATGCAAAGCATGCAGAACAGGTTCGATCATGCAATGCAGCTAGACGATCAATAAGAACAACAAGAGTAGTTTAAGATTCTAACCTCAAAACTAGGATCTAACGGTTCAAACTCCCACGTTCAAGCTTGGAGGTCCACTCTCTCACTCAAAAGCTTCTCATTCTTCTTCCTAGAGTCTCTCTCTCTCTCTAGAAGACAAGATTTGATACAAAAATGATATGTTTTCTCGACAGTCACTGACTTAACCCTCTGCTGGGACACGTGGCATCGGCTGATTGGCTCTACTAAAAAAGGTGACTGATTGACAAGACAAGACCATGACAAAGTGTATTCAACAAGCTGGACGGCAAGAGCACTCCGGCAAGTGATGATCTCGGCTAAGGGCAAAGCTTCGGCAAGTAGGGTGACAACGACATCGGCTTGGAAGGACAACACTTGACTAAGCTGTGCCACACCTTGGCCCAGATGTGCCACACCTCGGCCTAGGTCATACCATTCCAGGAACAAAATCACTAAGTGCAAGGATCAAGGATCTAGACCGCCTAGATAATAACATCTCGGCCTAGATGATGCACATCTCGGCCTAGGTGACGCACACCTCGGCCTAGATGATGACATCTCGGCCAATATGCCAGGGTGAAGATGGAGGCCAACAGAAGTGGTTCCAAGATAGTTCTAAGTGTGGAAAGGTTCCAAGGTGTCTAGGCTTAAGATGACCTCGGCAACACACCAGGCAAGAATAAGGCATGCAACAACACTCAAGCAAAACAAGACAGGATTTGCAAATGCACATAACAAAACAAGATCATACATAAATGTATGCAAGTATGACTAAGTTGAAGTGAGGGTTGTTACAAATCGAGTCCCCGCTATGTCATGTGTCCACTTTAAGTCCTTCTAACACCTAGAAATGGTAAACAATTAAGTCAGCTAATAGCTCAGTGACTAGCAACATGGATAGTAAATACAGTTTTGAAAATAGGGTTCAATTCTAAAATAAGATATATATCACATAAACTAGATTAACATACAGTTTGGTGAAGACAATCTGTTTCAAAAACAAGGTTTCACAGTTCAACAGTTAAAAACTCATGTCTCTTAAGAACATAATAAACGACATTTTCCACTTAAAACAGATTACAACATGAAGACCAATAATTTTCTAGGTACCAAGAAAATAACAAGTAATATGCCACACAGTTCTCAAGGCTATAAGCCCGTTGGATCCAATATCGAACTAAGAGTCATCCTCAGGGTGGCAACCTGGGCCTTTTCTCGAAGACGATCCGATTGAAGGTCGCCTAACTTAACCTAGGTCTTTTCCTTACAATCGTTGAGCACTAGAGTCATCACGGCCCAACCCAGATCTGTTCCCTAGTGGCCAAAGTCACCACACATAGTGGAATAATTTCCCTGGACTAAAATACACAGATGGTCCCAATAATCAATACACATCAGTTTCGCAAAACATGGCAGTTCATCATTATAAACATGAGACCAAAACAAATAGTTTACAGTATGCCAAGTTCACACATGTTTCGGAAATAATTTGATTCCATTGATAATATAATAATTTATCAAAACAGTTTAGTTCTGAAACAACAATTTAATTTTCCAACAGTTCAGGGTAGGGGTACATTTATAAAAATATGTAGCATGAAACTACTCACCTGAAAACGAAATAATATAATCCTTGAATAGAGTATGAAAGTCCAACTAGTGCCCTGAACCAAGTATAAAAACTACACGTCACTACTAATTTAAAAATACTAAAGAATAGGAACTAAGTAAACCCAAACTAAAGCGCACTAACACGGCTCAACCCAACTCACCGTTACTCTTAAATATTACCTAAGTTCATGTTCTTCAAGGTCTAAAATCACCCAAGACATGGGTTCAAATCGAAACTTAATTAAAAGTAACTTTAAGATAAAACATAATTTTAAACTAGTTTTCCCAATCTATTTGCTAACTTTGAAAATTAAAAACCCACTCCACGTTGTTCGAAAAATTCTAAAACCCTCAAGATATCAACTAATATATCCTAAGTTTCAAACCTAAATGGTTTCACTTGATTTGCTTATCAAAATAATTATCTACAATTAATTTTATCTAAATAAGTTGTTTTCTGCAGCACTTTAAAGAAATTAATGGTTCTCTTAGTATACATGAGCAATCAATGCAAGGCCAAAAACAAACGAAACTAGACTCGTAACCAGTTCTAATGACCCCAATTTGATAATTTTCGGATTTATACCCAAAGCGAACAACACTCCCGAACTTACTGTTTAAAACCAGTTTCTGGACAGATTTGAACGTAGCAGTTAATATAGATTTTGACTCCCAAAAATTATGAGAAAATTTGGATATGCAATTCAATATGTAATTAATCTACTGTAAAAATTTCAATTTAAAATTCATCCATTTGATATAGTTTCTTAATTTTTAAAGTTCGTGATTTTGTGCAGAATTTTTGGACTAAAAATTACACCCATTCTTTATACGTGAATTTAGCTCCTCAGATTTCTTAACAATATATATATATATACAAAATACATAAACCTACAACCTCTCCATCAATGAACTAAATAATAATAGAGTAAGGATAAAGAACAAAAACAAAGAGAAGAAGAAAGATAGAGACTTACCACACGAGCACAGATCCTCTCCTTGCACTCCCTCCTTGCAAGGCCTTCGGGCCCACTTTTAGGCCCAATTTTAATAATTCAAACCGCTCATGTTTTAAGATTTATTAAGTATATCATATCTGTAAAAAATCAAGTTGATCGGATATCAGAAAGTATGTGTTCGGAAAAATCGAACTAAAGACTATTTTTTTAAAGAATTTAATAAACAGTTTTCGGAACACATACTTTTTGATATCCGATCAACGTGATTTTTTACAGGTATGATAGACTGAATAAATCTTAAAATATGAATGGTTTGGATTATCAAAATTGGGCCTAAAAGTGGGCTCGAAGGCCCTGCAAGGAGGGAGTGCAAGGGGAGGATCTCAATTCTTACCACACACCCAAAAGTTCTTCCTTGTTTGCAACCCCTTTTTTTTCTTCTTCTTTTCTCTCAACCTCTCTCTCCCGTGGCTGCTATTGCTGCTGTTATATGTTGTATTAGGCAACCTAGGGTTACATTATATATCTAAACAAAAGGCTCTAAATTATTATCTCTTTATATTATTATATTTTCTAACCCATTAATTTAAATAAAATATAACTATTATTATAACAAAATATACTGACTAACTTGCCCTCTTTTTTTTTTCTTTTTTTTTTAAAATAATAAATCTTGTCTCTAAATTAAATACTTTCACCATAAATTTATTTTAAGTTTAAAAATTAATTAAAAGACCCTCCAAATATTTAATTTGCACTTTAGGATTCACCACTAAAATATTTGAGATTGTAATATTATTATTATTTAATTATTTACTTAATTTTTATATTCGGGTTCTCACATCATGGTAGCATCCCTTCAAGTCTAGGCAATTGCATAAATTTGTTGCATCTAAGCCTTGCACAACACAACCTTAATGGGCCATTACCCCAACTAGTTATTGGTCTTGTTAGATTTTTGTAATTGGCAATCCTATTTGACAACACTTCTTTTAGTTGTAATTTTATTTGCTCTTTTGTTTCAATGAGGTTACGAGTGTTTAGGTGCGAATCCAACCCAAATTGTGCTGATGTAGAGAAGTTTGTGATCTTGATCCTTTCATGTTTGCCACTTCGCTGACTATGTACGGGGATCGAGCTGCTCGATCAGCTCGCGGGGGTCCAGGGGACAACGCAAATGCATTCGAGGTTGTTTGATTGCTCGAGTGGAGAAAAGGATCATCCAGTACTTTTGTAGTGCGCCTAAACTTCTAAGAAGAAAGTTTTACCACTTGAGCGGTGAAAGTTGCACTTGAGTGGTCATGTTTTGCACCGCCTTTACTCGCACCGCTTGAGTGGTGAAATGTGCGCTCGAGCGGTCTTCACGACCCAGTTCACTATAAAGTGCGCTGTTTGCTCATTTTAGGGTTTGTGGTGTCCAGATTTTAAGAGAGGAAGAAAAAACAAAGTGTTTTATATTGGAGGGTGCTTTATGAGTGTTTCCTTGACAATTTAAGAGGATCCATTTGATGATTGAAGAGTGATCAATGGATCCGTGAACTTTGTACCAACATTACCAAGGGGTTTGTTTGTTTTCTTTTAGTCACAAAAGAGAGAGTTGTTATTCGGTGGATTTTATCGAATTTGGGTTTTAAGCTTTAATGGATTCTAGAGTGGCTCATAGTAGTGGATTCGACATCAACATTGTGGATTTAATGTTGGGTAAGACAATTCCGAGGTGAAGACGGTGGTTGAAGAGGCACATCGCGTTTGGTTCAATTCGGGCGTGGATTCACTAGGTAATTGAGAGTACTCTTGTGTAATTCCTGTTTTTGTCTTTTGAGTGGATTGTTTTGTGGCTTTGGCCTATGATTTTTTATCGTAATTGGAGGTGCTCCAATTATGATTTTTTTCATATTAAATCGTTGTGCCGATTTGTCTTAATTGTTTGATTGGGATTGTTATTTATTGTTTTAAATTGAAATATAATCACAAATTAATATTTCGGGGATTTTTAGAGTTGGAACTATCTTAAAACTCTTTGACAGGTTCTCTTTCTGTGGAAATTGGAAATTTGATGACCCTTATTTACTTGAATATTTCCGAGAACATGTTATCTGGTGAAATTCCTGTTGGAAATGGTTGGAAAATTCTGGGTAAAACCATAACTTTTTCCTAAGTTTGGTATATTGTTTAGGTAGGTCCTGTGTGTCGATTTTCGCGGGTCAAAGTAGTAACGCGTTCTATGTTGCGTTGTGATTCACGTGGTATATTTGGTTGCTCAAAACCATTACCGAGTGAATGGGAAATTGAAGCCAAAGTGTGCTCCATGGAAATGGAGTTTTGGTGGAAAATCCTTAAAGGTTTGAATAAGGCTTGTCCCACATTGATTTAGTGGGAAGTTTTGAATGGATTTATAAGGCATGGGATTGCAACTTGGGGTGTGCCCCAAGGGGTACCCAAGTGTTTTAGAGAGGGAGGATATGGGCAAAATAGGCTAGACCCATTGAACCCAAAAACCACCACGCGCGTGCTGCATCCAGTCGGGCGTGCTGGGCTTCGGCACGAGTGCGTGGTGTGAGGTTGGGTTGGGCTTGTCCAACCCAATACCTATCTTTTTGGGTAAAAAACATTTGAATTTAATTTTATTTTTTGCAAAATAAAATCCAGAATTCAAATTAATTCCGGAAATAAACTGGTCCGATTTTTCTGTACACCCAAACAGGTCCCTTCCTGTTTTTATCTGTTTGAATTTTGAACCCAACAGATTTAAATCTGTTTAATTCAAAACCAAACAGGTTTCATATCTGTCCAAACAAGTTTGCACCTGTTTAATTCAAAACCTGCAGGCACCAATCCATCTATAAATAGGACAACCCTCATTTTATGTTTCATTGAGAAATTTCGTACTTCACCTCTGCAAATTTATTCTTCATTTTGCTGCATTTAATTTTTGTGAGAAAGAGTATAAAACACTTAGTGTGTTCGTTGTACAAATATATTGTAGTGTTGCATATATTTGTTGTTGATCATTTCATCCTGGGAGATAGACGTCCATATTCTGAAAGCACCGTGGAGAAGACGAATCTGTCTTAAGGACACAGTGTCAAACACTGGACTTGATCAGAATAATATTCAAGATATTAATCAAGTAAGTTATTTATTTATTTTCTGTTTTATTATTATTTATTTAAATCAGATTTTAATTTTGTTTTGGTAACAAAATAAAATCTGTTTTTATTTATTTAATTCTATTTCTAGTTTGATTTTTGTAATCAAACATTTTTCTCTCCTTTCCTTTATTTCTTTTGTATTTTGTTTGTTGTTAAGTACACAAACAAAATTAATTAATTTAATTACAGTGAAGATTGTCGAACAATTCCTAGTACTCTTGTAGTTGTGTAATGTTGGAAACACTCTATGTATGGAGGGTAACTTGTTTCAAGGAACCATTCCTTCTACTTTCACTTCTTTGAGAAGTGATCAAATTTTGGATCTCTCTCGCATCAATTTGTTGGGAAGAATTCCAGAATATCTTCAGGCTTTTAAACTCTTGCAGATTTTGAATTTATCTAATTTGGGCCAATACCCCAACCAGTTATTAGTCTCCTCATTATCAAATTTGGGCCTACCTCACAACTCTTTGTTAAGTCCTCTTCTAGTGGAAGTTGGATATTTGAAGAACCTTGGTTACTTAAATGTTGGCGAGAACATGTTATATGGTGAAATCCCTGACACTCTTGGTAGCTGTGTATTATTGGAAATACTATCTATGGAGGGTAACTTGTTTCAAGGAACCATTCCTTCTACTTTGGATTTTTTGAGGGGTATTCAATTGTTAGATCTTTCTCGCAACAATTTGTCGGGAAGAATTCCAGAACATATTGAGAATTTTAAATTCTTGCAGATTTTGAATTTATCTAACAATGATTTTGAGGGTGCAGTACCAATAAAAGGTATCTTCACAAATGCAAGTGCAATTTCAGTTGAGGGAAATAGCAAACTTTGTGGAGGTATTCCTGAATTACAATTGTCTGCGTGCAACTCCATACAATCCAAAAAGTGGAGACTAACTCTCAATTCAAAACTGGCAATTTCTATATGTAGTGGGCTTCTAGGGCTTTCTTTTTTCTTGTTCATTCTATATATTTGTTGGTATAGAAAGACAAAAAAAGATCTTCCTTCAGTTTCACTAAGAAAATCACTCTTGAGAGTGTCTTATCAAACTCTCTTTAATGCTACTGGTGGGTTCTCTGTAGAAAATTTGATTGGTGTTGGTAGTTTTGGATCGGTGTATAGAGGAATTCTTGAATATGGTGCAACAATTGTTGCCGTGAAGGTACTCAACCTCCAACGTCATGGGGCTTCCAAAAGTTTCATGGCCGAGTGTAAGGCCTTGAGGAACATCAAACATAGGAACCTTGTTAAGGTACTCACTGCATGTTCAGGTGTTGATTATCAAGGTAATGATTTTAAGACCCTAGTTTATGATTTCATGGAAAATGGAAGTCTGGACGAGTGGTTGCATCCAGTTAACAGAGAAGAGGAATTGCACAATGAACCAAAGAAATTAAGTCTTCATCAGAGATTAAATATTTCTATTGATGTTGCTTGTGCGTTGGATTATCTTCACCATCAATGCTCAACACCAATAGTCCACTGTGATTTGAAGCCAAGCAATGTTCTTCTGAACAATGACATGACTGGCCATGTAGGTGACTTTGGGTAAGCAAGATTCTTACTAGAAGCCACTCACAGCTTCCTCACAAATCAAGGAAAACATTCTTTCACCCACTTTTCATTGATTAAATTTTCATACTCTTTTTCCTCTACATTCTTAGGAGAATTCCATTATAAATTTGTATTTCACATATTGAATTTAAGTGGCACACACAGATATCTTAATTGCGACACCTGTAGAGGGAAAAAAATGGAATTCCTTGTATTTTGCCTTACAACCACAATCAAAGTAGGCCACGGAATGATGACTATTTGATGTGGAAGAATTGCTTTCCTAAAAAAATTGATTAATTGCTTCCATTTTTAATACTTCTAATGTGTTTTCTTTTGCATTAGTTTGAGAAATAGATAACAAGAACAAGATTACTATTGCCTATACAATTCCCATATGCCAAAACAAATGAGAGGAAAAGGAGAGTTATCTTAGGAGTATTCTCGTACTTTTCATTTGACATTTTCTCGCTAGTCCTTGTTTCGATTTGAAACAATTGAAAACCTAATTGTTCTGTGAGTAATATGTGTATTGGTGGTTTCTATTAAAATTGGCCCCTAGGATTGGCATGAGATGGTATTTGACTTGTATGACAAATTAATACTGAGAAATTTGTTTGTGATGCGTGCTTTATCTGGTCAAACAAATAACAGCGTATTACTTCTTGATTACTTCATAAGAATTTAGGTTGATGTTAACTTATTCAAAATTCAAACCATTGATGGCCTTTTCTAATGAAACAACTGATTTTTAGATAAGGATTTGAGTGTCTTGACCATTTCATTGCATGATTTGTTTCTTGTAGAGTATGCTATGGGAAGTAAGGAGTCAACAGAGGGAGATGTGTATAGCTATGGGATTCTCTTGTTAGAAATGTTCACGGGAAAGAGACCCACTGATGACATGTTCAAAGATAGTTTGAACCTTCATAACTTTGTTAGGCTGGCTTTGCCTCACCAAGTGGCAGATGTTGCAGATCCAATGCTCTTTCGAGGAGGAGAAGAAGAGACTAGCACTCAGAACTTGCGCAAGAGAAGCTGCTCCAGGAGTGAAAAAATTCGAGACTGCTTAATTTCAATAATGCAAATTGGAGTCAATTGTTCTGCAGAGTTGCCAAAAGAGAGGATGAACATCAGTGCTGTTGTAGCTCAGTTGCATTCCATCAGGAACATTTTTCTTGGAACTATGCCCCCCGAGAACTAAATATGTAAGTGAAATCAGTTGGCATACAAAATGTTTCTGGTTTCAAGATATGATTGAAAATATAATAGGCTTAATTAAGTGCTTTTTCTATGAACGGTTTAATGATTTTGTTATGGGATTGTAATTTATTTGATTCCCTGCACAGGATTGATGCACCCTTCATGAGTAGCACCTGAATCTTGGATGTTCTTATTTTATTGTAATTACTTTTTAATTCCTTTTTACATATGCTTGATTTAATTTTAAATTGTTCACCCATCTCATAAACACATCTGTTTCGTATTGAATCTAGTAATTTTTGATAAATTACGCCAGTAATTACTTATGTGACTTCTTCCATCCGTTAAGAATCTGTGCTTGGCTTCCTCTTGATTATTGGAGCATACAACAAAAGGCAAAAGTTTTCCAAAAAGTTATAAACAAATTAATCATGTTGTCATATTTTATTTCTGGGATGAAATTGGAAATTTACTCAAATCTGTCTTCTTTTCTGTCTACTTCATCTGAGTTTCTTCCCTTCAGTTTCTTTATTTTTCAGATCATTGATGGTTATGCATCAAAAATATCTACCACGTTTGGAAGTTTTTTTTTTTTTTTTTTTTTTGTGAAAAGTTATAATGCAGTTATATTAAAACAAAGTTTCGGCTGAGTTGCTCTACGTTTTGAAGTTTTGGACCTTATATGTGATGATCTATGAAGCACGAGTGTGGGTACGGATACGATACGAATATATCGATACGGTAAGACCTAAAAAAATATAGAATACCAGTATGTCAATAATTTTTTTTTATTTTTGTAATTTATAGTTTGAGATTCAATCTACAAATCAAAATTCAATACCAAAACTAAAAGAAGAAATTACAAAACCCAAAAGAGAAATCATAGTTCAACAATATCAATACCAAAGCAAAGTCTATAAGCTATTTTAATGCCATTAAATAGGAGAAATTACAAAATAAAAATTCATTTCAAAAGCAAACTAAGTAAAATTTGAAAACCTGAAACTTTAGTTTTTACTTCCATCAATTTCATCATTGAATAAATAAAGGAATTACAATTTCAAGTAAATCAGAACTCTCTAATGTCCTATAACTTGGTGTACTCCCATGAAATACCCATGGAGTACCCAACTACAAAAAAATGCATAAAAAGTACCCGGTACGAATTTTGAGTATCCGGTACGCATGCAACTCTATCGATACGAGTACTAGTACCCAGTACGAGTACGGCAACTTTTCGAAGTACCCGTACTTCATAGGTGATGATGCAATTTAACTTTCACAGATGCTTCTGTCCGATTTTGTATTTGGTGTATGTATTTCTAGACTTTTTCATAAATTAATGACAAACTGAGGAAAAGTGAGCATTGTTTTGAGTGATTTCCATGTATTCCTTTGGCAATTTCTTGGAACCCCACTACAAAAAATTAAGGTTTTAAAGACCAAAATTGAGGGACAAAATTATTTTTTTGTGACCAAATATTTTTATTGCAAAAAGTGTCGTCATTATATTTTTAGCAATAAAAATTGAACATTAGTGATGAATTATTATTCTTTTGGGATCAAATTTTTTGTCTCAAAAAATAAACCATTTTGAGACGACATTATTTTGTCTCTAAAAGTCTATTTATTAGTGGCACTTTCAAAATTTTGTCACTAAAAGCCTTAATTTTTATTTTTCAAGACGACCTTTTATCGACTATCCTCACGATAATAAAAATTGGTCGTTAAATGTCTATGGCTTCTCTTTGGGATTACATGTTTCTCACTATAGTATAAATATTATTGTCTTTTTTAAAAAAAAAATTCTTTTTAATTAATTAATTGATTTTTGGGTGTGTTATGGGTTACTGTGCCTTTTCTCTCACAGGCTCCATCTTGAACTTTTTAGTTAATTGTATAAACACTCAAAAAAAAAAAAAAAAAGAAGATAATTTTAATCAAAAAAATTTAATAATATTTTGCTTACTTTTGTGAACTTTTTTTTAAAACTAAGTCAAAATTTTATAATTTTAAGAATAATCTAGTTGATCCTTTCAATTTTAATTGTGACAATTACGTTTTATACTTTAGGTTAAATTACAATGAAATTCTTCCGTTCATTTAACCTTAATAAGTCTGATGTGAACAATTAGTAATTTTTTTATTTTTTTTCTCATTACCATCTGTATACTTTGGCATTAAAAATATATCGTATAATATATAATTTGTTGGCAGGATAGGGCTGGCTTGAAACACTCTTCCCAACCCAGGCCTATATCATAATTGGGCCAGAATATTTTTCCCAACCTGACCTCATGAGCCTAAATCATAATCCAAAGTCTTATAAATCATGGGCAGACTCGAGTGAGCTTAGCAGGCCATTAGGCACATGTCCACTCCACCCTTGGCCCAAACATTAAAATTACAACACCAAGAGCAAAATTGAAACTTCCATTCATTCCAAAGAAAACACACTCAGATCTTGTATAGCTGCAGATCCTTGTAACAATGAAAAGTATCAACTCCCCAATTTAAAAGTGTGCATCACATTTTTTCCTTTTAAAATATTAAATAAGTAAAAAAAAAAAATTATATAAATTTATATTGAATTCTAGTAACACTATATTCAAAAAAATGGTTCATGTGATAGTACATTTAATGAAATTTCATGACCAAATTAGACTTATTAGGAAATTTTCTTTATAGTCAATATACTCAATTCACATGTCCCCCACTAATGTCAATAGATTGCTTATATTGGATCACATATACCCCCACAAAGGTCAATAGACTTCATAGAATAGCCTAAGAAAATACAAAACAATAGGAGTTGGCAAGAAGCCAGGTCACAATTACCACCAAAGCACCGGCATAAATGCATTACACAGGAACTACACTTCGGAACTAAATTTCTTGTCAGCATCCAAAACTTAATTAAGATCCTACTGCAATTCATGACAATGCCAGTACCCAAAAATGTCATAATAATCAGAGGTAATTTAATTATAGTTTTTGTTAGGTTTTGTAATGGGCAATTCCATTGGACAAATCTCCATTGTTGTATTTTTATTCACTCTATTGTTTCTATGAATTATGAGAATTTAGTTGCGAATCCAACCCGACTTGTGACTGTGTTAGAGAAGTTTGTGTTGACATTCCGTATCGTGACTTGAGCATTCTTATTTGCCACTTCACTGATGAAGGACGGGGTCAAAGTTGTTTGACAGCTCGAGCGATCATTTGTGCGCTCGAGTGGTGAAGTAGATCATCCAGTATCTTTGCCTGTATTCTGAACTTCTGAGAAGCAAGTTTTACTGCTCGAGTGGTAGATGTTGCACTCGAGCAATTGGTGTATATGTTTGCACCGCCTTTACTCACACCGCTCGAGCGGTAAAATGTGCACTTGAGCGGTATTCGCAACTCTGTTTAGTATAAAGTGCATCGTTTATTGTTTTTAGGGTTGGACTTGTCCAGATTTTTAGAGATGAGTAAAATACAAAGTGTTCTAGATTGGAAGGTGTTTATATATGAGTTTTCTTGATGTATAGATGGTGACTGATTGATCAACGAATTACATATTGTCAAACATCAAGTGTTGTTTTTCTTCTGTCATTCACAAAAAGAGAGATGGGTTCACCGATAGATTCCGGAAAACTTGGGCCTAAACCTTTGGTGGATTCTAGAGTGGCTCGTGGATTCGACATCAGTGTTTTGGATTCAACGTTGAGCAAAGTAATTCCAAGGTGAAGACGGTGGTGGAAGAGGCACATGGGGTTTGATTAAATTCGAGCGTGAATTCGCTAGGTAATTGAGAGTTCTCGTTTATAATTCTTTTTTGTCTTCTTAGTAGATTGTTTTGTGACTTTGGCCTTTGATTTTTTTTATCATAATTGGAGGTGCTCTAATTGTGATTTTTTCCACGTTAAATCGTTGTCCCGATTTTGTTGTTGATTGTTTGATTGGAATTGCTGTTCATTGTTTCAAATTGAATCATAATCACAAATCAATATCTTGGCGGTTTATAGATTTGTCAGTTTTAGTCCCTAAAGTACGAGCTTTATGTCATTTTGGTCCTCAATGTCTAAATTGTGTCAATTTAATTTCCAATGTATAAAAGTGTTTCAATTTGGTCCTCAATTTTAAATTGTGTCAATCTACCATCCAATGTATAAAAAGTGTTTCAATATGCCAAAATAGCAAATAACTCATACTTTGGAGTTAGAGGTATATATGCAATTAATGCACCAAAAATAGATGCAAGCATTATTAGTTTCTTCTATGCAACCACAAAATATGTTATCACTCATCACACAGTCTAAAGGGTGGCTATCAATTCCAGGACTGGACATCGTGGGCAAGTTATGCAAGCAAGTTGAGCAATGGAAACAATGCACATTTTTCATTTTGTTATCCCACACTCTGGTGAAATTGAAGAGAAAAAAAAAGTTAAAGAAAAAGAAAAAGAAAAATAAAAGGCAAATTAATTCACGTGCATTACAACCCTGCCATTGTGGAATCTTTAGGTTGTTTAATCACCAACCCAATTAAGGCTAACTCTGCATACAAAACAGAATTAGAAAAATAACATTTCAAATTTCAGGAATGAATTCCCAGCTGCTCCAGTTATGTCTCATGGTCATGACATTGCTACATGTTGGAATGCTCCCTGCAGCGACTACAGCTAGTACCTTTGGTGGTAACGAGACAGATCGCCTTTCATTCCTAGCCTTCAAGTCGAAGATAATACACGACCCTTGTCATGTCATTTTGTAATAAATTCATTACATTTTTTCCCCTTTGTTTAGCATTAAAATATTGTCCATTATGCCATTGTGTGGGTAATCTAAAAGATTCAATTGGATTAATGGTGATTTAAATAATTAATAATGCTTTTATGTGTTTGAACTCCATGAATTATGTTAACCCCCAAACCAATCTAGAATCAGTTCATATTTAGGCCCTCTTTTTTGCTCTTTGGTAACTAAATTACCGGACAATGAAGCTTGATGCTTGTCAAAG